AACATCTACTACTTTAGTTTGGGCTTAGCTTGTAGCTTCTTGATAGATCCCCCTAATCCACGGATTTACTTTTCTGGAACTATTTGCAGTGCCTACCATATAACTTAGAGGGTATCTTTTCAAGACCTGCTCCATTTCCAGGACGGCCAAATGTTCTTTGCATTTCCCTATATTTGTGTACTATAGATAATAAGCACTATCGACACCCTTGACAAATTCACACTGATTAGATGGAAACAGTCGTCTTTAAGTATCCTTTGATTGATTGTGATCAGTCATAGTAGCCGAACTGGTGCGTAGTTGCGGTATCGCCACTTTGCAAATTGGAATTCTTACACTATTTGACGTATACTCTTGGCTTTAATGATCTGGAAGTCGGCTAGCCAAGAGGACATTTTTGTCACAATTCACTTAGGGCCCTTTGTTCAAGGAAGCCTACTTAGAACACTCCTTGACGGCTAATATCTTTATAGCATCGACCGCAAATTGAATGGGGATCGTTTGAGATTATCAACTCTACATGGGCATGTGTCGATCTTCTAGCTCGCAGCAAAACAAATTGGATTTATTATCAGGTTTAATGTTGAAAAGCCTGATTGTCACCGTTTTGAAGGTAATTCTAAGAGAATAAGAGCTCAATTTCAGCAACTTTCGGGCGTTGATGTTCCTTTGAAAACGAACTTGGAAATGGTGCAAATATTCAAACAGTTAAATAATACGGTTAATACCGAATTTTCTGCATATCAGGAAGAGCGCTTACAGGGAAAGAAGGTAAATTCGGGTTGAAAATTTTGGGTTTGAATAGGAGCAGCGTTAATGAGCGGCTTCCATGCTATGAAATCCTTCGATTTTCGTCAATCTACTTTTGATTGATCAAAAATGAGGCTTTTCCACAGAAGCTTTGTAAGAGGTTGACTCTGATTTTCGGTGGATAGCATCACTCTAAAGGTACTATAAACGCGCATGAGGGCTTAGTGCGCTCTGATGGAACATGCGCGATACCTTGGTTACTGTAGCTGCACTTTCAACTATCTACCGAAAATAGGTCAATCCATAGCTTAAAG